GTGGAAAAGGCAAGGAAATAGATTCTCCCCTGGAGCCTCCAAAGGGAACACAGCTCTTGTGACACCTTCATTTTAGCCTAGTGAGATCTGTTTTGAATTTCTGGCCTTCAGAACTGTAAAATAATTTTTTTATTGTTTTGAGCAACTGGCTTGTGGTAAATATTCCAGCAGCAATAGGAAACGGATACACCCACCTCCCCCATTGGACCATAATGCCTCTAGAACAGGGGCTTGGGTCTTCCTTAACCTTGTACATCACGGTGCTCGGAGTTCCTGGATCACAGGTACTTTGGCTTTTTAGACAGAACACCTGACATCATGCCTGTCTGTGCTCACCTTAAACCTTGATGAATGATGTTGTCACTGGATACAGTCTGGCCTTCCTAGAATATCCCAGGACATAAAATCCAAAAACTAGAATACTGCTGAAAGATTTTTACCTCTCCTTGAACAGTAAAGTTCTCATTCACCACTGGGGGAGACAATAACTTAGTCTCACCCATTCCAACACTGTGCAGATTTTTGAGTGCAGGTCTACGGGTTTAAGGGCTAAAATGGGATGTTCTCACAAGATACCTCAGGGATTCCAGAACAAAGCCAAAACCCAAGAAGCCAAAATCCAAGAAGCTAAGAGAACAGTCTAGAAGATCATCTGCACTACAGATCAGAGTGGATGTTACCAAGCTAGAAACCTGGGGACCTTGGAAATGAGATCAAACAAACAGAAAAGAAGGGGTTGTGGAGTCTGGAACTGTCACTGTTGCTTTTTTAGGCCAACTAAGGCCCGGTGTGTAAGTGGTTTATGAAGATGGAATGGACAGCACTTTATGCCCTTGCAAATCAAGCTTGTTTTGCCCAGCCCTACTTGCCCTTAAGGTAAAGTAGGGTTTTCAGGCATTGTGCAGTATTGATGAAAAACCAATTTTAGTTTTTCCTAATTGAATTTAGCTTTTGATGAACAGAAATGAATATCTCACTAAGATCTCTAGTCCCGGAGACCAAACAAAAACACCTTAAAATCTAGTAAAATTACAAAGATACCAGAGTGTAGTATACAAAATTTCACATCTTATTTTTCACATCTTCTATGTATTTTTTAAAGAAAACTTCATAACCCATGCCTGATATGAATAAGGCCTTTTACTTTTTTGTTGTAAACATTTAGGCTTAAAGTTATTGTAACTGACAGCTAAGACCAACAGAAGCCAGTGGCCTATTCATAGACAAATTATCTGTACTTCAGCCTAAATCAAAAGTAAACATTCTCCACAGTCCCTTTAGGCCTGCATTAGTCCTATGGAAGCCAAATGGGACAGACAAACCCTCCCCTTGCCTCCATGTATTCTGTGGGCTCTCTTCAATGTGAATGGTCTTTTCCATGAAGCACTATTAGACACATTTTGAACCATTTCCACATCTAAGCTCTTAAATGCTTATTTAGCAGATTTTCCTTGGTTATCATTTTTTTTTCATTAGGAGAATATTTGCAAAAGACTGGGCTGTACTGTTTTATAATCCATCTAGATTAGTGTTTTCCTAAATAATGATATAGGAGAGGAGATGTTCTGATGACCTTCACTTAACTTTTTTTTTTTTTTTTTAAGATTTTTTTACATGTATTCTTTGGAAGAGGAAACAGCAGTGACTTCCTATCACTGAATAAATTCCAGGAAAGACTAAGTATTATGAAATGCTTTAAATGACAAAGCTATATTCCTGAATGTCTATATTCGAATATGCTGATAATCAATTTAAAAGCAACACAAGAGGCCGGGCACGGTGGCTCAAGCCTGTAATCCCAGCACTTTGGGAGGCCGAGGCGGGTGGATCACGAGGTCAAGAGATCGAAACCATCTTGGTCAACACAGTGAAACCCCGTCTCTACTAAAAATACAAAAAATTAGCTGGGCATGGTGGTGCGTGCCTGTAATCCCAGCTACTCAGGAGGCTGAGGCAGGAGAATTGCCTGAACCCAGGAGGC